TAACAACACACCTTTTTAGCATTAGGATTAAAATGGGTGGCAGGTGACTGGCTGATCTGGAAAGGCTAAGCAGGGGGCGGGGGGGGGGGATATAGTAGGAACATGGATGGGAGACCACTGGGAAATGCCAGGGCTATAGGCTAGAGGGGGATGTTGAAACAGGATTCTGGAAGAAGCCAATGGAAAGCCATTTCTATGCTGCTGCCAAGAAAATGGCATGGATATGTCCATGGAACCGGTCTCAGAACAAGGAATTATCTGGTAGAACGTCTGGGGGCTCAGAAGCTAATTAGGACCAGCCCTGGTTAGTATGTGGATGGGAGACCACTAGCAAATCCCAAAGCTGTGAGTGAATGTGAGAAAGCGGAGAAACATTCAGGAAGAAGGCAAAATGCCCTGAATGGCTACCATGAAAACTACAAGGATAGGTCCAGGGAGTCCTCAGGAGTCAAGCTGAATTCTTCTGGACTTTTTTTTTTTTAACTTCATAGGCTAGCAATTTTCTTTTAAGTGTTTTCAATCTGCACTCAAACAGTTCTTCACTGAAGCGATCCTGAATGGATGTTTTAATGTTATAAAAATTGAGGGGTGAAACTAGGCATCCGAGCGGCAACTTTAACTGAAGGATCTGAAGAATGGTGGAAGAAGGTTGCAGAAATGGAGTTGATTGGAAACCTGATAGGAAATGAATGCCAAATTTAAAAGGGCAGAACTGCCCCCAAACAGACCTGCACTTGTTAAAAATAATGGAACCATCACACTTCTGGCCATCTATAACTGTAGGCGTTGTGCCTCACTCATGCTGCCTAGACAAAATAGTCAGATTTGCAGAGTTTTGAAAAGAAATGAGAAAAGCACAAGGAAACATTTGTGCAGGTAGTCCTTGACTTATGACCACAATTGAGAATGGCGCTTCCGTCACTAAGCAATGCAGTCATTAAGTGAGTTGTGCCTGCTTTTACAACCTTTTTGCCACGGCTATTAAGCAAATCACCATGGTCATTAAGCAAATCTGGCTTCCCCCATTGACTTTGCTTGTTGGAAGCCCCCTGGGAAGGTTGCAAATGGTAATCATGTGACCCCGGGATGCTGCAACTGTATTAATACTTGCTGGCTGCCAAGCGCCCAAATTCTGATCATGTGACTGGGTGGATGCTGCAACGAGCATAAGTGTGGACTGGTCATAAGTCACTTTTTTCAGCACCATTGAAACTTCAAATGGTCATTAAACAAATGGTCGTAAGTCAAAGACTACTTATATTCTTTTCTTTCAAGGATAGTTTCAACTAGTGTGCTAAGGATATGGCATCCCTTCCATTTCCCCTTTTAACACGGAGGGCAGGGGACTGCATCAGAAGGGGGCTGATACGTCAGGTGTTTTCTGATGAACTTTTCAATTCATTTTTGATTGCTCCTGATTTCCTTTCCCCCTTCTCCCTTAGCTCCGTTCTCCAGGGGCTCAGGTGCTTCAAGAACAGATGCCCGGGATTAGTGCCCTGAGTGGTCTTGACCTATCGGACAATGGTGAGTCTGAAATCCTGTTTGGATGTAAGGCTGACGAATGAATCGTAGATTCATAGAATTGTGGAGTTGTCTAGCCCAACCCTTTGCGATGTGCAGGAAGACGAATGGTTCCATGATTCTATGATTCGTTCTTGTTTAGCCACCTTCCTTTAGGATCCTCAGCATGAAGAAGGTCCTCCTCTTCTTAAAAACCTCCACTGATGGAGGCTATTCCACTGTTGCGCAGATCACACTATGAGGAAGTTCTCCTTAAATTTAAACAAAGTCTAGGTAGCTGCAACTTCTACCCATTACTTCTGGTCTTAGTTTCTGTGGTCATGGAAAATAATTCCTGACCGTCTTCCCTAAACTCTTTCCTATGTACCTGATCACTGATTTCCTGTCTCCCCTAAGTCTTCTTTTCTCCAGACAGAACATCTCAAGTTCCTCCAGTCTGTCCTCCAGCAGACGGGCAGGCGCCATCCTATAGGTTCCTTCTGACAACTCCAGCTTCTGACAACTCCTACATCTGTAGTTTTTTAAGCACAAGGACAGGCAACTCCAGATGTTGCATTGGACTATCCAACATCACCAGAAAGCAAGCCCAGATAAATACGCGGAGGGGCCTATTTGCAACATCTGGATTACTGGAGGTTGCATACATTTGGTTTAGAATTACAGCCCAATTGGGCTTGTTGACTTTCTTAATGAGATAGAATATTAAGCCACAAATTATTCCTGGCATTTGATGTTGGCTTGTTAAGAGAAGAAGAAGTCAGGGGAGAGATGTTGCTAAACAAACCAAAGATGGAGACTTTGCTTATTGAGTGAGTCCTGCTGGGAGAAGAAATCCAACAGCGGAGGATCAAGAACTTACATCAGTACATTTGTTCATTTCTGATACATCCAAATTCGATCTTGGTATTTTCCAGGCTTCCTCCTTATATTTTCTTTCATTTTTGATGGGCATGCAACGAAGTCTCGAACTTTTGGAAGGAGGTCATTCATGAAATGATTGCTTGAATTCAAAAAGGCTTGCATTCTCATCAAAATGAGGCTTATTTTACTCGTTCAATGGAAGGAATAAAAGTTAACTAAGCCGGTTACTTCTTGCCTCCCTGCTTTTAGCAGCAAAGTCAATTATTTTCCCACAATGGAATTATTCAGATAATCTATTGCTTGGAAAATAGCCCAGTAAGATTTGCTCAGTTGCCCTGCTTGAGAAATTCTCTGATAATATCCACCTCCTTAAAGAATAAAGGGGGGAATCATTATTTGAGTGGGATCGGCAGGATTTTATCTGCTTTATAAATGATGTAAAACGAATACCCATCAAGATGTAATTGGCAAATTCAAATGACTTGGTAGAAGAATGTAGAAAGAGTTATGTGTAAGGCAACTAAAAAAAACCACGTAATAAAAGCAAACTGCAGGGAAAGACTGTTTTCTTCCGGACGTGATCTGTTGCTGTTTTCTTGCTCCATCAGGCTTTGATGCAGATTTGCTCACCCTTCTTCCGGCGCTGAGCAAGAACAAATCTCTGAAACATCTCTGGCTGGGAAAAAATTTCAACGTCAAATCCCGGTGGGTATATGCAGGGGTACGTGCACCACTGTTCTGCACGCAGCGAAGCACAGATGCCAAGACTTTCAAGTTAAATACATAATGGTTTGAGTTCATTACCCAACAGTACTTATACAGAATCATACAATCATACTGTTCCGACTTGCGTACAAATTTGACTTACGGACAGACCTTGGGAACAGAACTCATTCTTAAAACTGGGGACCCCCTGTAACTTAAGTGAGTGAGCTGTGTTTGATCAGGATGGGGCACAAGGCTTTGGTGGAACTATTTTGAGTCAAGGATCCCTAATGCTATTTTTGAGATTTTGGGGTAACAGATAAGCTGGTCTCTAAGCCTTCTTTCATGAGGGAGGTGAGGCCTTCACTAGGGCAAGAGACAGACTCTATTCCAAGAAAGAGCGTACGGCATCTTTTCTTTCCTCATCTCAGCATCTTTCAGTGCTGGGGAATTTAATAATTTACTTATTATGTATTGCTGAACTGACTCTCTGTCCAATGGCACCCCAGGGGGAAGTCAACCTTCATAGCTGGCAAGCATGGCATCGTGATCCAAGTCCCGCCCCTTTCATACGAGTGTGTCCAAAAGGGGCGGGGCTTGGGTTGCAATGCTCTGCACGTGCCATCTTCCAGATGTTGAGTCCCCTTGTGGGTGTCCCTGCTTCTGCCTTTCTGCATATGCAGATGTTTGAGGTGATTTATGTAGCCCAAATATGCAAACTCGGGAACTGGGTGTGATTCCTCCCCAGTCTGGAAAATGAGGAGGAGGAAGAGGATGGTGGTGAAGTTGACATAAAGCATTTTTTACTTTCCTTTCTCAGAACGCTGGAAGAAATTCTTCAGAAGATAGTGCAGTTTATCCAAGAAGAAGACTGCGTAAGTTCTTGGTTGTGTAAAACAGAACTCTGTAGAATAATTTTTTTTATTATTATTATTATTATTATTATTATTATTATTATTATTATTATTTACAAGGCTTCTTAGTTGCTCCAAACAAAAGGTGTAAGTTGAAGGTAGCTCTAGAGATGTGGGCCTGGGTTCACATGTTATGCTTAACTATTATTTAACCATAGTTTGTAGAATAAGCTACAGCTATCCAGTTTGGCATGCCAGGTTTACAGTCCACCATAACTTGGTTCAACCCACCGGGCAGCTAGCGATGCTTGTAAGCTGAGGGCAGGTTAACAAAACCCAAAATCTGCATAACACACCAGGTCAAAAAGATCAGTCATGTTATGGCTTCAGGGCATTCACAGGAGATGCTAAAGCAACATCTGGATTTTTCATGCTGAACACAACTGCCAAGCCTACTTAAGCCTCCTTTTGCAGGCTGAGCAAGGGGGTAGAGCAGTGTTTCTCAAACTTGGCAATGGTAAGACATGCTGGCTGGGGAATTCTGGGAGTTGAAGTCCACATGTCTTAAAGTTAAAGGGTAGACAGACTTCTCTATGGTCTTTTCTCTGTCCCCCCCCCCCCAGGGCATTTGCAGGCACCATCTTTATGGAGTGGGGCTTGAGTTGCTCCTGCAATTTTTCAGATTTTGAACAGCCCCCCCCCCCCCAGGGCATTTGCAGGCACCATCTTTATGGAGTGGGGCTTGAGTTGCTCCTGCAATTTTTCAGATTTTGAACAGCCCCCCCCCCCACACACACACATATTCACCACAGTCTCTTTTCTTTAATTAATGGGATCTTGGTGCGACTGAGGAGTGAGTTGCAGTGTCTGAGTCTTTCTATTGTTTCTTGATTGAAATGATAATTTCCCTCAGCGTGCTGAATACTGTAGACCTTGAAAAACCACCCTGAAAGGTTTTTGGTTGCTTGGAAAATTACATAGGCAGGTCCAGCAGTCTCCAGGAGCTATTCAACTCAAAATGAGCCTTTATGGAAGGAAAGAAGAAGAGGGAGATTTTATTTTCTCTCCCCCACCCCATCTCCTCTGGCATCTTGTCTGCCTTGTCTGTAACTCCAAGCAGGACCAGGCAGCTTGGGGTCTTCCCAAAAGACACCAAGGCACCCCAACCTAGAACTAAGTTGGGCTTCAACTCCCATCATTCCCACCCAACATTGCTTGTAGTCTTGTTCCAAGCTGGGTCCCTCCAACCTCCTGTTTGCATTGAGAGTAAAAAGTTCCTACCAGGAGTATATTGGGTGTCTGATGGGAAGGGGGTCAGTGACATCATTGGAAAATGATACCAATGACACCATTTGAAGGTGGTGTGTGTCATGCTGCACGTGACATTGTCATTCTAGATACTCTGGGGGGAAAGTTTCAGAGGGGCTGATTCAGATGGGAGCTAAAACACAGAGTAAAATTAAGGCTGTGGAGCTCCTGATCCACATCAGGGCTGACAGTTTATTAAAATATATCGTTATAGACCAAACATGTAGCCATGTATGTGTTTGGTCCATGACCATATATTTTAATAAATGAATACATTGCGGGCTGGCAACCTGTAATTAAAAAAAATATAAAGGCAGTTGTGCAATAGCTAAGGATGCAGATAGGGTCATCTTGTTAGACACTATTCTGATTTGCCCACCTGAAAAGAAAATTAATCCAGGAGAGAAATCCAAGAATGCTTGAATGTATGGACAGGGGTGGAGGGAAGGAAAAAAAAAACATTTATTTAAGGCAGGGAGGCTGCATGAGAACCGCCCAGAATTGCATCTGGGGTGAAGGGAAGGAGTAGAAGCTGGGTTTCCAGGGGATTCAAATTGGCTGCTTGGCCCCCTTTCCCTCCTGCTCTCTCCCCCTCCCCAAAGTCCTTACAGTCCTTCTCGGTGGCCGACTCCCGGCTGAAAACCCGCTGCAGCATCCTGATCAATGCCCTGGGGAGCAACACTTGCTTGACCAAAGTGGACCTGAGTGGGAACAGCATGGAAGACCTTGGCGCCAAGATGTTGTCCAAAGCTCTGCAGATCAACAGCACCCTCAGGTAGGGAGACCTGGAGGGTGTCCAGCAGCGTTCTCTGCTTGTGGGGAGTGGGGAGAAGCCCCTGAAGATGGAGGCTGATTGCAAGGCCTCTCGTGCCATGGAAGGGGATGCATGCAAGGGGAGAAAACTGTCTTTCTCCTTTCTAGGAGCATTTCCTGGGACAGGAATGGAACCACGGCCCAAGGCTTCCAGGACGTAGCCCGGGCCTTGGAGAAGTGAGTGAGCAGGAGTACCCACCTGGAGGGAGGAAGCCCAACCCCCCTCTTGATGGCACTTTTCGATCCCCTGGGGAGAAAGCAAACCATTGGTTTAAGCCTGCCGGAGCTCTTCTGAAAGCATCACTTGGAAAGGACCCACAGCTCAGTTGGGCAGAGAAGAAGTGGGGGAGATAAAGAGAGGGAGAAGGAGAAGGGGACAGCCCCACTGCCCCGTGTGCTGCGGGTTTTGACCCAGCCCGCTACTGGCGTGCGCTCCTTGGTAGCAAGATGGCATTAGCAATAATGGGTCCACCGGGTGGCTTCAATAATAATGAATCTGGATGAGTCACTGAGTCAATGAATTCCATTGGGTTGTTAGAGATGTCCTTCAAATGACAGAGCTTGATGAATCATTGAGGGAGCTCATTCCATGATGGAAGATAAATTGCTTGTCTAGAACATGCTCGTTCCTCTCAACCAACCTGGTGATTGGCAAGCTCTGCTTTAAAGATTGAACTAATGGTTGGATGCCCAACTGAAGGGAGACGTCCACTTGGGTTCCTTCGTGGTTGAGCTGTGGGTTGGGCTGGGATGCGGAGAAGGTGGAACCGAACGGCCTGTGGAGCAATTGGTGGGCAGGAGACCTAGTGGCCCATTATGTTGAGCGGCGGTGACCTAGACTGGCAGAGCATGGCGGTTAAAGAAAGGTGGGATTAAACCCCAAACCACCTCTTGCCAAAGGCTGCTTTGCAGAAGCATTTCAGCTTCTTGTCACATCCCTCTGAGTGTTCCAACAATACATGCATTCCTTGAATATGTGTGTGTCAAATTGATGTCAGTTAATTATGTTTGAGAGTGGAATTGGGTTTAAGGAACACCAGAGGCATCCCCAAGGGGCCAAAAATGTCAAGATGGGGGCTGTAACTGTGGGATCAAAGCCACACCCTTTTTCAGGTGCAGGAACCCACCCAAAAGGGACAGGGCTTCGATTGTGCAAGCATGGCTGCCCTTTTGACTTGTTGACCTTCCCTGTGGATGCCTCTAAGACAGCGTTTCTCAACCTTGGCAGTTTGAAGATGTGTGGACTTCAACGCCCAGAATTCCCCA